AAATGGTGGCTAATGTTAATTACCTATATTAATGGATTCTCATGTAACACCTGCCTGGAGCGCTTGGCTCGGTGTTCAAAATATCTTCATCTAAGCCGCTTGGCGCATGCCGTCAAGCTTTGTTGAAAAGCAGAGCGGAATTGAAGTTGGGGGATTTTTGAAGCAGGTCACTCCAAATGCTTTTTGTTTTATGTCGGCCTTCCTTTTGAAAAAAGGGAGAGAACAGAAGAATGAAGTGTTTTTTTTCGGACATTAGGAAAGAGCTCTGGCTTGAACAGGCAAATTTATATTTGTGAGCCATTTTTCTGTCTATTCAGCCTGAGTATTAGTCATGAAGTCTTGTCTCTGGTAATCGGTGTATCTAGTTTGACATTCTTGCCACACGCCTTGTGCAACTGCTTGGCATGCATGACCTAACTCAGCAAACCAACACATATTTAAGAGGGGCTAGTCTGTATTAGATTGAAAATGATGATGATCATGCAATCGATCGAGACCCCCCCCCCACCCAACTAATCTATAAGGTGAACATTGTCTGAAGCCCCCTTGTCTCTTCCTCCTGATGGCTCTCTGGATGTTTAGACTTCTTGGAAGCAGGGATCAGCGATTAAATGTCACCTTTCAGCAACAACGTTAAATAAGAGGCAGCAATTTAGCTCCTAGCAATTGCTAATTTCACGCCCTGATAAATGTTGCAGGAGCTAAAGCTTTCAAACCGCCTAAGATATTTCTTAAAGGGGAAGGAGCGTGAGCAGGTACATCACTGATGTGTTGTTCCACAGGGGCTGAGGCACCGGGAGGCGCTTTAATGTCAAGGTCAAAGCCGTTGTTGATGCGGTTTTGCTTAAGCCAAACGTCATACGCTGTTTCCAACAAATGCAATCTGATTTCGTGCTCAGTCGTTTGGTCTGGGCAAGGACATTTTTGGGACACAATAAATGAAAGCGGACTTTAATACATTCCCACAGATTGAGGATGTGGAATGTTTCTCTCAAGTGACTCAAAACATTCACAAATTTCTGTTTAGGAGGTTTCTTTGCATACATAAGACATTTCTGCATGTGTGCCTCATTTATAGAGACATTGCATATGCCTTTTGTGCATAATGAAGTGGTTTTAGTTCAGACAGTGTTTCTTATTTGTCCTGTAGTGATGATAAACGCGGTTCCCCTTGCTCTGCACTGATTGCTCGCTGTACCGCTGCCATTGTAGATAGCTGCAAAAATACGGCCTTCAGTTTTAACTGCTCACATAATCAAATTTGTTTGACAAAGCAGCGAAACAACAGCCCATGAATGTGGTTATATCAGAGCCTGTTTAGCTGTGGAGGCCTGATAAGAGTGAGGGAACGAGAGGAACCCCTGCCTTACAATGCTGTAAGAATGGCCTTTATTTCGGGCCGTAAAGTCATGTGATGCATGCCAGGAGACTGCACTACATATTAAATCCAGCCTTTATGGCCAGTGATTGGAAAGTAATAGTTTTCAAATGAGTTTCAAGGCCTCCTCTCCGCAGAAATAATCCTTCGCTCTCCATTTCCAAGGAGGAATCACGCAAAAGGCAGAATCATACTGATGTTGGAAATAAAACCATTGTTTTCTTTCTAGTGGAACCGTGTATGCTGGAATGAATTACAACCTACCCCAGCCGACCAAACATTCCTTTTTTATTTTTTACTTTTTTGGTAAAATGGAAGTCCTCTCATGTTGTGCGGGGGGTTTTTGTGAAGCTGAAGCCTCAGCTTTGTGCGTGCTGGTTTATGAGCTGCTTTGATAGAACTCTCGCCCGTTTACGACTGCTGGCACGACCACACACACACACAGACACACAACTCCCAGCAGAATTTATTTTCTGAGCATGCCTGCTCTGCACTGCGCTCCGATACTGCCTCGGAACATCAGGACGAGTCTGATGGGAGACATTTCAAACAGGGCCGATGTATGTTCTGGCTGGTTTGAACGCCAGTCACGGGGGGGGCCGGGGTGGCGCCTAGGCTTCCCACGGTTTTCAATCTCGCCACGATGCTTCTCGCATTCCGACAAGACGATAAAGAAATAAACAAACCACGTGTTTGGTCACATTGCTTAAATATCTAGTTTAAGAGGTGGCCACAAACCCCCTGCGCTGCCGTTCTCTCGTGCGCTACTGCTCACCAGAGCCACATACTTTTCCTCGTTAATTCTTACGGCTCCCCAGCCACCTCCAGTGACACTCTTATCCTGTTTGCATTACAGCCACCTTCCTTCTTTCTTTTTTCCCTTACTCTCGCAGATGAATACAAAGGGAACATTGCACAATCTTCTCTGGATGTTTTATATCCCAGCGAACTTTATCTGGTACTTTATTTGAAACATGTGTGTTCCAAAAGCTCAAGGACTGTCTTGTCTGGAAGTCTTTTCTCCATTGCTTATTTCCAACTAAATCTTCAGATTTATAGATTTTGAGATTTTGCCCTGTCTGGCCTGTGATAGTCCATTTGTGAAATTCACACCCAGCCTGGTGGGTCTATTAATACTTAACCTACCCTCCACATACATGCACAAAAAACAAGATTTTGCAGCTGTGTTCATGTAAGACTCTTTGCTTAATCTAAAAACTGATTTACTCCAAATTTTTGTTTGTCTTTAATCTCTTCTGCCTGCAGTGCGCATTAAGGTGGTGCTGGTGTGAAGGGAAGCTATAGTAGGATTTGGCCAGGTCCTGAACCTTTGACAGTGTTTGTGCTGGAGATTATGAGTTTATTATTCATTCTGGGGTTTATATGGATCAATCTCGTTGCTAAGTTAAAGGAAACTTTCTCATCATGCTTCAGACTTCAGCAGCTCTCAGAACTTCTGATATACCCTCCCGCTAATCTTTAAGGCCATGCAGTCCTATTGACATTTTTTTAAAGAACGACTGCTGGAAGCCAGGTCTGTTTAGAGCGCGGTGTATAAATTATTAATATTTACCATGCATTTAATTTCCTTGTGGCCTGATATATGAAAGCCCATTGTAATTATAGCGGCGTGTGAAGTCGGAGGGGGAGAGGCGAAGGAAGCGATGATGACTGTAGCACTCTCTCAGCTCATGATTGACAGTGCGATCACTCGCTGAATCCCGCAGGACGTGGAGCTGCGGAAGTTTCCAGAGGCTGTTAAATTGGCACTGGCATGTAAACAAAAGGCTTAAAATGACTTGATTCAGCAGATTTTTCTCAACTCTACATGTCTCCCACACTCCAGAGACAGGAGTAAGTATCAAATGATCTAAATTTGTATTGACACCTATGTGTATTACTAGGTTTTTAAAGTGGAGCTGTTTTTGACAGGCAGGTTTTTGAATGATTCTGTTTGAAATCGAAATAGAGGATGTTCTGATGGGGGCTGTAGGAGAATGCACTGTAGCATGCTACTTTGTTGGGGTTATTTCCCATACCACTCTGTGGTAAACTCACTCTGTGGTCATGTGAGGCTTTGTATTCCTTAAGAGAGGTCATGCTGTCAGCTGTAAGCTCAGTGGGTGATATGCTTTAACCATTTCATATATGGAACACTCTAACACATGGGGAAATTCATTAGAATTCACTTTGCCTTTTACCCATATGCTTTTACATGTTTTACATTAGCGACCTTGTGTTGATGAAAGCTCATTTCTATTTTTTTAGGGCGCATATGAGGAGCTGCTTACAAAGAGTTGTGTGAAAAGGCCCATGAATATGATGTTCAGAAGACAAATGCTCTCATCAATAGACCGATTTCTCCTTCAAGTATGAGAGCTCTAATAAATGTAGCTGTATATCACGGTATTGACGTTTCTCGTATTCACCCAAAGGAACAGTATCTTCCACTAGGCCCATCATATACATTTATGGATTTCTAATACGTCTCAGCTCCAGGTTTTAAAGCTATAGAGAAAGATGATGGTGCTTGATTGGGGGATTTTTGAACTCTTCAGAGAGAAAGAGAGAAAGAGAGAGAAGCGAAGGCGGATCAGAGGCACGTCCTCCACACGGCGCAGGGGGCCTCCGTGCTGGGCCGGACTGTCCTCAGACTCAAGGTGGCCAGGAGAAATTGCTTTTGTCTGAGGCGGGCATTAGTCATTATTGTGTGTGTAAGCAGCTCCGGCGGGATTGAGTAATTAGGATCCTGACACGGCATCGGCGAGTGAGCTGAGTGAATCCGAAATGAAGGCAAATGAAAGCAAATTCCTCTGAGGGGGGAGAGGAGAACTCGCCACACTTGCGCCGCTAATTTTCTTGGAGCTCCTAGTTAGGTTCATTTCATTCCTCCCAAATGAGAAAAGCGCCAGAGCCGGGCGTTTGATACCCGCCCAATAAATGGAATGAAAAGGCAACACATCTTTCTGTTGATTTGCTTGTTTATTATCAAGGGTAGCTTTGATTGAGGAGCAGTTTGCATTCATGGAATTGTTTGACCTTTCTGGAGGCATCTGCGGAGCAGGCGGAGCGGCTTCTGGAAGGAATGCAAACCGCAGCGCTTCATACAGTGTCGAGAAATGAGCTAAAAATCAAAGCAGCCTGTTGGAAATTTTATTGGCTTGCCGCAGATTCATCTCCACATACTTTGGGCAATAACTGATCTCCGTTCACCCAATGTAACCAATTTTCGCGAGCACAGATGCACAGCAGAAACGTGGCTTATTTTTTTTTCATTCTTGCATTCACAGTGACTACAGCTAATCACGTCTGAAGTCCAGCATTTGCTCACAAGAAGCAGCACTAATTTTGCAGACTTGAAGCCCATCCTTACTGAGCTGTATCCTGTTTGGGATAGCATTACTAGTGTAAGTGGTATGAGGATGGTGGATTTCAGATGGAAGCTGGCCTGGTGTTGGACTTGTGGCTTTCTGTGGCAGTGGGATCCAAAATAATGTGTAGCCAAAGAAAACACTTACTGTAATTCCATAAGACATCCAAGGAATCCTGTGGTGGGAAAGTTGAGAAGCCCACAATTGTGCTTCATCTGATGTGGTCTTTGTGTGTGTATGTGTGTGAACAGGCACAGGTGCAGCGGTGTCATGCAGAGGCCCAGAGGGATATTGTGGATCAGATGAGTGTAAAGCTCAGGAGTCAGCAGTACTCCAGCTCCAGCAGGAACAGAGACTTCTCCCTCATGTCCAAGTTCAACAGGTATAGTAGAAGCCCTCTGAACATTCACTCGCCACTCTAGTGAATGGCCACAGGTTAAGGTGTAAAAATACACACAAAGCACATACAAATGTCAACAGATCTGTTAACACTTTATTTTGAAGGTTCACTGTAGATAGATGTAGATAATCACTTTGTAGATGGTCAGCATTTCTATTGCATTATCTATTTGATTGACTTTGATTGATTTTTTTTCCTAACCATAAAACTAACATTCTAACCCTAGCTTCAGCCTCAACCCAAAACTTAAACCTAATCCTAACTGTAACCCTAGTTCTAACTCTAACCCTAACCCTAACACTGAACATAGGCAACTGTCACCAGAGAGGAGGTGAAAAAAGTGGCTAACCTGAGTAAAAGTAGCTGTAAAATAAGCTCGCTGGACAAAAAGTTAGTCACATGCATCATTCTTTTCTAAAACTTTGTTACGTGTCATTTTGCCTTAACAACAGCGTAAATGCTGTCAGCTAAGAAAGTAGTGTAATGAAAAGCTGACTATTTTACTTTTCTTACTTTTTGAGTTAGATTTGAATTGAATTTCTTGAATATTTCTTCAATATTTGAAGACTTGTTCTTTTCTAAAGCTTTGTTATGTGTCCCCTTGCCTTAATAAGAGCATCAATCCTGTCAGGTAAGGACGACACATGTCTCTTGATGAATTCCTGTCAATGCTTGCCATCTCTTCCACTCACTTTCCTGTTTATTAAAGAAAGACATTAATCAGCATTTTCAGAAGGCATTTTTCAAAGTAACTTAGTACTGCTAGTGAAGAACAGTGGAGCAGCTCACCACACAGTGCTTTTCCAGCAACACAAGTCAGATGCAGAAACACAGAAAAACACAGACACACATGGTACTGGTACACAAAACAATGTTACACCTTTCTGACATTGTTTAGACACTTATCATAACTATAGCTTGCTTTCTAACATCTCCTTATTTCAGTTTTCAGTTTACCCCATGAAATACTTAATCTTTAGATGAAAACATCCGAAATTTCAGAATGAAGTTGATGAAAAGCTCTCCAGTGTGCATTTAAAGGCTGCTCGTGTAACACCCTTATCTCTCAGCAGCCTAATAGTGCTAAAAGAATAAAGACATGGTTGAGGTGGGCAATAGGATGATGTTGTATCTTTGTCATGATCAATTTTGTTATTGTGACAAACAGTATAGTTTTCTGAGCATTTCATCCATACTTGAAGAACACTGACTTGAAGGTCCTGTTTAGTTGGGTTTAGTATGCAAAATGTTGAATAAAAAACATTGTACCCAGAGTTTTTAAATGTGGCACTGCTAGTGTATTGTGCCCGTGGGTCAAAATGTTGTAATATGATTCATGTATCATAAAATGTCTATAAGTATCATGATATAATATTTTTTGCCATATTGCCCACCCTAAACATAACAGTCAAAAAGGGAGGAAATTTAGTCCATGTGCTTTAACCCACAGTAATTTAGCCCACAGACAGATGTACCTGTTCTATGTAATTTTAATGGGTAATGTGGTCTCCACACCATTCAATCCAGATCATACACTTGTGTCTTTAGGACAGGCATTAGTATTTTAATCCACTAATGCCCCCACTCCCCCTCCAAACTCTTAGGATACTGGGTATATGCTTTAAAAGTACCACACATACCATTACAGCTATTGTTAAATTCTTAAAGCTTGTTAGAGGTTCCTGGGCCTAGTTACAGTTGCTAATCTATGATTGGAAAATAGTTTTTAGGGGTTGGGTTTTAGAAAGGTGCACTATAATTGGCTTACTTTATTTGCTTCATTGGTTTGCTTTCGTTGCCATATTCATGCAGAGTAAAAAAGTAGGACATTTGATAAGTAGTGGTGTCAAAGTGTCAAAAAATGGAAATACTGGAAGTACAGACACTTACTTGGTAAAAGGATTTAAGTACAGTAATGAAGGCATGTACTTTGTAATTTGTTACTGTCCACCAATGATAGTTTGTTAACATTTTGATTTCTATATATATACGTGTTAAGATATTTTAACAGGCATGTTAGAGGCTAGATGGTGAGTGGTAAATAACATTTCTTGATATTTGTAAAAAGAACATTCAGTTTTAAAAATGTCCTTTTACTCTTTCCTACAAATCAGTAATATCGAGGCCGAGTAAGCACTGCAGTGCTGTAATGCAACCTAAGGCTGGGTAATTGCACAGATTTTCCACCAGTTATAAATGGGGGAGACTGGTCTTAAAATAAGGCATTGCTTTCTAAAAATAACACATTTTCATTTCAGAGCCATTATTTATCACATTATTTTTTTCTCTCGAAAGGCTCCCCCCCTCTCTTTCTCACCCACTCTAATGCAGTGGAGGGACTCTGAAGTCTGGGCTTGACTCTGTGCCTTGGCTTCGAATCAAGCATCGTTTTAATCCTTTTAAGCCTTTCATTCTAATGATTTATTTTTTCTGGGAAAAAAAAACATAATGATCCTTTGAATTTTAATGACAGGCCTGCCTACTCAAGGATTCATTGTTTTGACTCTTTGGCCCTTACCTTTGCATGGAAACATGTCTGGAGGGAGGAGCTGTCGAAAGCTATCGGCCGCTCTGCCTCTCCTCCTCCACCGTAAGGGCCTGTCCACGTGCTCCTCTCTGAGCTGACAGAGACGGGACGCCTGCCATTCACCAATCAAAAGCCTTTACCAGGAAGGGTCTCCATTTAAAAGAACGGAGGAAGGGTGAACAAAAGTGACAGACAGGGAAAAAAGGGAGATGGGAAGTCTCCACATTAGACACCGGGGATTAACACCATAAATTAAAGAGCCGCTTCTATAAAAGTGTCACTTCACATGAGATGTGAGAGGTGTCAATAAGGCAGGCAACCTTTCACCAAGCCGCTCGGGGTGAGGCGTGGGTGGCTGGCCAGGCTCTGATGATGAATTAGGTACAGTAACACCCCCATAACCCTCCACCAGCCCCCCTCAGAGCCGCAGGCCACCAGATTGGTGTTAAATGGATGGGAAAAAGAAGGGAAGAAAAAAGAGGCATCCATTTGAGCCTCACTCCGCTGACCTGCTGGAGCTGATTGTAACGGCTGACGCTAACACTTAACACCGAGAACTCTCTAGCGCTTCCTCTAAGGGCACCAGAGGCAGCTGGGTAGACCCAAACATGCTCAAAAGCTAATTTTTTTTTTTAACAGAAATCTGTGTAGCTAAATGTATAAACATTCAATGCACAGATGTAGCACCAGCTGAGAGTAAATAATGGTTCAAAAGGCTACAAAGCAAGCCTGCTGAATGATGTTTAAAAACACTTTTTTACAGTCTTTGTTTGATTTTTGACATGCCCCGGGAGATCATGTTTTACAAGAATTTAGATTTATGTTCTGCAAAAAACTAATTCAGACAAATGCCACACTATAGAAGAACGCTGTGCTGCATTTGTCTACTTAACTTCCAAAAGGCATAGTGAGGTTTCTAATCAGACGAAGCCATGCCTTAGGGAAACTTCGCACATCAGTATTACATTGTTTCAGTCTTTCGATTGCTTATTCGCTGTCTTTGTCATTTCGTCTGATCAATGTCATGTTTACAAGGAGATAAAATATTCATATACTCTTCTCCATTGTTTTGTTTCATCAGCGCCTGCTTCAAAATGCTAATACGCACCACTATGCTCGTCAAAATTACATATGGAGCTGCAGTGCTCCGTCCCACCCTTTTGTTTAGTTTCTGTCTGGCTCGAATTGAAATAAAGAGGAATTGTTGATTTTTCTCCTCCTTTTTGATAGTTATTTGTGTAATCTCATTCATAGTCTTTCCCCCTCCTTTGGGGCTGACTCTCTGGATTGCTTATAAAAGCCAGACAAGAAAATGGCACTAGTTTGACGTAACTGTCAAAGTGTTCCAAAGCCGTGTGAATGGGAAACAATTTTCCCCGCTAATGTTTATAAACATGTGGCCCTCCTGCCGAGATGGTAAAAAAAGAACCATAGCCTAGACGTCAGTGTGTGTGCATGTGCCCACACATTTGTGCTTGTGCTAGTGCGTGTGTGCCCAATGCACTTGCATACGATAGTCTATGACTATGGTATGTGAGAGCGTGTGTGAGCATGCACGCAATCGTCCTTGCTCCTTTCATAAATATTTGATGTCCTTTCATGTCGAGGCTGAAGGCAGGCTTGGGGAATAGGGAGGTGAAGTCATGTTTAATTAAGCTGTTCTGGCTCAGGAGCCGTCACTCAGAGCGCGGGTTAAAGATCCCTTCTGCTCCCGACCCCTTTCACACCTCACTTACCTGCGCCGCAGCGCGCCGCTCGCTAACGGGACAGAGTAATTACCTCCACTTGTCAAATATTCCCTCAGTAAAAGAGCTCGGAGCCGCCCGACTCCTCTCTCTCCAGCCAGAGGAGCAGGTAGACGGGGAGAGAGTGAAGCTCATATCACCCACAGACTCTCACAGAGGGCACCTTTAACACACCCCTCCCTCTCTCTCCCCACCCAGCCTATCAGAGTTCCAGACCGAGTACCAGGAGCTCTGGGATTGGCTGATGGACATGGAATCCACTGTGACGGACAGCCATGAGCTGATGATGTCAGAGGAGCAGCAGCACCATCTCTATAAGGTGAGCCTGTAAGGCCAGAGTAAAAAACTACTCAGCCATTACTAAGAGTTTGTCACCATCAACATCAACATTAAAGAAATACTCCAGTGGTTTTCTGTCTAATCTCTATCTGCCATACGGTCGAGTATTTCAGCAGCTGCCCATTGGCGTCCATTGTGTGTATGTTAAGTGAGTGCGTTTTCTGTTCTTTTCTAAGTACAGGGGAACATACTGAAGTTACTGTCTGTGGTAATTGACCATATGCTACAGATGAAGTACACAGAGATTATGTTGAAAAACACTGGAGTATTCCTTTAACATCAGTATCTTTCTGTCCGTTCACAGGCCAAAAGCCTGACTCACAAATCAACTCTCTTCTTTAACATACTACAGTAAGGGCAAATGAAAAAGAAAAAAAAGAAAAAAGGTATAGAAGAAAGAAAATGAAGAGGACCAAATCTTTGGTGTTGGAAAAATCTCTTTGAATTTGAATGGTGATATTTACTATTAGAAATCTACAGTGATGATTGTACTTTTGCTACTTTTGCTGTACATTTGAGTTGCATTATATAATTATTAATGTATAATTACACAATTGCATAAGTAGTTACATAGTTACAGATTGCCAATGTCATAATATTAAAGGCTGTATTTGGGCTAGGTGATATTACCTATAATGGTGTACTGTGAAATTCAAATACCGTGATACTGCTTCTCGCTGTTGTCTGTACAAAGCCTTGTATCTTCAAAATGATAACTTCACAGGAGAAGGACAAAACCTTCTTTACTTTTAATGTAAGTCAATGGAACCAGACTTCTTCTAAGTCATTTTAGGGCATTTCTTTTGGTCCATTCATCATGAAATTTACACACAATGTAAAGGGCAACAGACATTTTCAAATTATTTCAAAAACTGAAAAACAAAAATGGAGATACACGGTTTGTCTCAACAGCAACGTTATGTTTAAATATAATGAGCATTGTCTCCATCCCTGTTGCCAAGCAGTTTGCTTTTAGCTTGTATTTCTATTTGTAGTGTTTGTCGGTGTATGTCATTTGTTGGTGCTTCAGTTTCAAATCAGTTTCAAATCCACAAAAAATTCAATAAATAGTAAGTTTGCTTTCTAGAAGTTTGCTTTCTGTGTGATTAACATTTACAGTACTGTGAAACACTGTAAAAGTTTCCTTTATGTATTTTTAGGAGAAGAAATGGAACAAAATTTTTCATTCAACAAGCTACACTCTTTAAAAACATATTTCCTCGAAGGTTCTTTGATAAAGGCAACGGTTCTTTGTAGAACCATGAACACTCAAAGAACCACCTGAATGCATCAATTGTTCTTTATATGGTCAAATTCTTCTTCTCTTTGATGAAAAACCAGTTGTATATTGTTCTTGTAAACAATGGTTCTGTATAGCATCAAAAAGGGTTCCACTATTGTTACGAGTCAAAGAACCCTTTTTCAGTACCATATAGGACCCAGCACTCAGGAAGAAAGATCTCTTTACCTTTATTAAGGCTAACTTCATAACTTTATTAATATTAACCTAAATAGAATTTATTTGACCCGTGTTACCATGATATTCTGGAAATAGAATGATATTGAATTTTATTAATATCACTCAGTCTCAGCTGTGTGAGAAAAGAAATGCACATCTGCTTACAAACAGAAATGTGGTATCAGTTAAAAATGTATTATCTGCTCTTTAGACAAATTTGTCTGCTTGTTTCAAAGAGCTGTGAGTGAGTAATAATATCAATTTACATCATGCTTTTGTTCCCACCACTGCAAATTCTAAGGCTTAACATGTTACAGTAAGGACAAGGGAAAGAGAAAATGTGAAAAGATGGGTTCTAGGAGAGGGAAGGAACGAATAAATGAAAAAGAACAAATCTTTGGGATTGGAAAAATCTCTACTTGGGTTTGGCTGGTGATATTGCTTTTTTGCCAGCTTTATGCCCTTCAGAAGCTCCATGTTACCACAGAAGGACAGAAAGAAAGGAAGAGCTAGACTGAGATAGAGTTACAGAGGAAACGTGTGCAGGGGAGTGCAGGAGATAGCGCCTCGTTTTACAGCCCGTATAGGCACCTTGTCTCAATGAATTTTTATTAGTGATAGATAAAGCAGGCCAGTATTGTGTTAGGTCAGTATATTTGCTCATGATTAAAACAAACTGATTTTGGGTCTGTGTATTGATTGCATGCCCACCTGCACTAATAAATATGTACTGTGCTTGTGAGTTTGTTATCGGTGTGTGCGAGCGTGTGCCGGGCGCTGGGTGGCGGGCCGTTATCGGCCTGGGCTGGGGGGATTGATTGGGAGCAGGTAGATGTGTGTGGAACAGAGGCTTGTTTGCCCACACTGAGGGGAAGAGGGGAAGATAGAGAGCTGTGCTTGCCGGAAGCCACGGCCCGTAAATCAGCCTCATTTAGGCTGCCTTTATTGGACCAATCCTGACACTCGTCATCCTGCCAATTGCTGGGAGCATATGGCATATTTCAAAAGAGCAGATTGTGAATCATAAAGAAATGAAATTAATAACCAGCTCGGCTCGTGCTGGAAACAACCGTAATGACAGGCAGCCTCCTCTTCCTCCGCCCTCCGTTCTCCTCCTCCTCCCTCCGTTCTCCATCTTTCCCTCTCTCTCTCTGAGCCGTCCGAGGTCGCCGCCAAGGTCAGAACTAATCTTCCTGCTCATCGGGCATAGTGACCCCACCATTAGTCATATCTTACAGTAAGAGAGAAAGCAGAGGAATATAATGCCTTTTCTTCTTTCTTTTATATGTCCGTGCGTCTCGCTCTCTCACTCCCTGCAGCACGACCCCTCTGACCGGCCCTCTCACAGATCACACCATCCACGCCGGGTGACACTTTCACTAAAACGCTTGCCATTACACACAGTGCTGCTCATGTGAGCATGTATACAGAGAAACCATTAGCACTGTTAATCCATTCATCCATGCTTCTTCTACTCTTTCTGTACATTCCTCTTACCACCATACATTTAGAGACTTTCTCTTTGTCCCCTTTAACTTAAAATCTTCCCTCACAGTAGTTACAGTGCATGCATGTTCACATTCTGCATAGTCAAATGTATAAGCATGTGGAATTGGAGCTTTCTGTGTACTATATTGTGTTCTGTCACTGGACAAAAGAAAGCATGATGCCACCTTTATTGTTGGGTGCACTGCGATTCTGAGTGAACATGTGGGCACATTCAGAACTTATTCAGAAAATCCAGCATGCTGATTGGCTATCTAAAGCACATACCATGTTCCTGTTATTAACATTAGTGATTCTTGATTAGTCTGCAGTATATAACAGTCAGTAAATATACCCACTTTCTGCAATCCACACTTATTTCTGGCTTAAGTCACCATGCTTTTACTTTGTATTTAAACGAAGGTATCAAAAAGTATCATTCAAGAGTCAGTATCGAAGTCAAGATAACAGTATCAGTATCAGTACCAAAAATTTTAAATGATACCAGTAATATTGAGAACAGAATTCAGATCACTAGGGGCTTATTATTGATTTGCTTCATCAAAATTGTAACAAAAGACAGTCGAAGTGTGAAGTGTTATTCGTATACATATGTTTGCTCGCTAAAAACTACAAATTTTCAGCTTTGTTAGATCTTTTTCTTGATTTATCAAAGTAAATGCAACAACACTCAAGCTAAAGAAGGTGTATAAAAAGAAAAGATGACGGTTAATTCTGTGTTTGGTACATTTAGATGTCTTTGGTCTGTTTACATTAATATTTCAAGTTAACATACCAGTATTTACATGAAAGTGGAAATAAAGGCTCGAGGACACAAGATTTCAGCACCTTTTGGGTTCATGGTGTACTATAAGAGTGCAAAAAACAACATTTTGTACTATTTTTATTGGTACTGGTATTTTTTTCTTTTGAGCAATCTGAAATCTGGAGGGACTTTTTGGATTTTGAGCTTAGTTAATCAGAGAGGTCATGTTTTTAGTCTTCTTTGTGCTCTCTATATGGTTTCTGAGGGTTTCCACAACACTCCCTCTAAGCAGGTGTAAATATTGAGTACATACTAAGCTCAGCATAAAAACTATAACCTGAACAAATCAAAAACTTACGTTCTAACTTGCCGATGTTTGAAGTTACATACAGCTGGTTTGTTGCTATCCTGCTATCCAGATTTCTCTGAATATATATATATATATATATATATATATATATATATATATATATATATATATATATAATGTCAAGTTACTGGGAAGAATACAGGGCAAAAAGTTGTAGAGATGACATGATAGTCAGACAGAAATCAGGCCCAGAGCTCGTTAGTTGCGTGTGTGAGAGTGTGTGTATGCTGCAGGCATCTGTGTGTACTTCACACAGTGGATACCTTTAGTGTTTACTGACAGCAGGATGAAATCTCTGTCTAATCTAGCATGCTCTGATGCCCCTACTGCTCAAAGCTCCTTTTTACTGAAACTTTCTATCTCTTCTTGCGCACACACACGCACACACACACACTCGTGCTCCTGCCCTGCAGAAATTCTTTCCTTTCACAAGCTTGTTGATCCAGAGAAAAGGTGTTGTAGTGCACTTTATTAGGCTTTTGGTATGTGTTTATGCATGTTATATCAAAAGGTTTGATCTTTTTCTTTCCTGGAGATGTAGAAGGCAAAGGTGTTCCCACAGGGCCCTGCTTGTTCTCATTGAAGTGGTCTGTCAGAACCTCTAAATTGCAACTATATTTGCTTCTGAAACATTTTGTAAATATTTAATACGCCCCTATTGATGCCCATATCTGCCACTTCCACAGAGAACTGTCCACAGCCTGGGCAGCTCTGGACCATGATGAAAGTCTTAAATATAAAATGAAAAGCACAAATCAAGAGTAAATACATTTATTTGTGTAATTGTGCTTTAAGAATTCTCTTTAGTCTGAGTAGAGGGAAAGCACCGAGCTGCAGTTGGGTTTTCTCAGAGTCCGGGCTGTAGCTGTGCTGAGATGTGTGAAAGTGTAAGTGTGTGTG